TTTTCACAAACCATTGTTGGTTCTCCGCCTTTTGACCATAGCTCAGTCGTTCAAGCCTTCGGCTCTCGCTTCCGCTTCCGCCCCATATCCATATCTCCAAATGCTCCCTGAGTTCTGTTGCCTTTCCCTAAATCAGAGATAGAGAAACCCTAGCCCCAAAATTCAGCCGTCATCTTCTGCCGCCTGGTCTCCGTTCAAGACGGAGAACATCAGGGGTAGAAATGGATCTCTTCGGCAACCTCCTTGGGCAAAAACCGTAGCTCGATGTAGAAGGAAAGAATCTCGACCTAGTGCTTACCTGTGCCGCCGATTATCGTACTTCCCCCTCCATTGTCGTCGCCGGTACCTGACTCAGAGGCAGCGGTCTTCGTGTTTTGGGCATCTCGGAGCAGATCAAACCCGCTCCTCTGTAGGCTCCAACTCGGTAAGCACTCTACTCTTTAATTTAATTCCTTCCAAGTTGCATGTTCATCCCATCCGCCACCACATTTTCCCCATGGTAACCCCAAAAAAAATTGAAAAATCCGTGTAAACGAGTTGCTGAATATTTTGTGGTTTGCCGTGAATTGATTGCTGCACTTTCCTAATTTTGTTCTTGTTCAATGCCTTTGCCGAGTTACTGCATATTTTGTGGATAATGGTTTATTTGTCTCACACCTTGTAAACGGAATGTATCAACCATTACTTGATGTGAGCCTTTGAGTTATATTTTAGAATCTGAAACTAGTTTCTTCAATTTTTGTTTTTGATTCATGAGCTTTGCATTTTAAGGTTGCTGGTTTTAAGCAAAAACCAAGCAAAGCCGAGAAAAAAAAAAACAGATACATAATAGAGATGGTTCTTTGCTCTTCAATTATATGTTCTTTAATACCTCACATGTTTCGGTTAGGCATTGACACTTTGAACCCAGATTTTGTTTGGCCAGAGTGATGGTGTCTCAGTATTGTTGAGAGTATACTTACATGTTCACATGCAATAAGTATACTTAGCTGCTAACCGTGGCTGAATGTTCACATGGCAATAAGTATACTTACATGATGGCTGAATGTTCGGACGTCCATTTTTCTTTGGCAATAAGTATACTAATCTGTTCATCTGTGGCTGAATGTTCTCCACAATCTGCCGTTATATACTTACATGATGATTTGCAAACTTTTGACTATTGTTCTCATATGTATATTTGGAACCCCTGCTGTGCAGTTTCTGGAAAAAAAACCAGAAACTGTTTCTGGTTTTTTTCAGCTTCTAGATTGCATTTTTTCGTGGCTATGACGATGTAATTGTAATTAATGGCCTAGTTCTTTATGTCGAGTGATATTCGATGGCTGGGTACTAATTGGTTGCCGGTTTATCCCATTACTCTTCGTTGGTATGGTTGCTTTAATTCACTTTGTATGCCTTGCTTGATCAATATGCCGACATTAGCTAGACCTTTGGCAGCATATTGGTTGCCAGTTTATGCATAACATCATGGCATAAAGTGTATGAGCAACCTACCACTCAGATTAATTGAACATAAACCTTGGTAGCCTAACTGTCCTAGCCTTGGATAATGCTCCATAAGAGGACGATGATTGGCCTTTACACAAATCTGAGCCTCCTTCCAACATCCGAGCTCATTAACTGAATTTTACATGCTATGTACATACGTATTGCTGCAATTATGGTATTGTCAATACATAGATGGCAAGAAGGAGAGATAGAGATGTAAACTGGAGCCCGGAAGCTGAGGAAGAACTGCTTAAACGTCTAGGTGAGTTCAATTTATTGAACTCTGTTGGTACCACTTCTCACCGAGATAAATACACATAATGGGCGGCGGAGCTAAGTGAGCATTTTAGCATTCCCCTAACTTGGGACAAGGTCAAACAAAAGGCCAGTAGACTGAAGAAAACGTTTGATACTGAGTTTCTACTTCGCACTGCCACCGGACTTGGATGGGATCCGATTCAAAAGAAACCCACTTGCACTGACGAGTATTGGCAACAATTTATCAGTGTAAGTTTCTAATAGTATATGTCATTGAAAGAAATGTGACACTCGTTGTATTAATATTTGTTGCTCCATTTACAGATCCATCCCGAGGTTGAAAGGGCGAGGAGGAAGCCCTTGTTGGATTACGATCTATATTATTGCGCGTTTGCCAATACTCGGGCAAATGGGGCCTTTGAGTATGGTCAAGATGATGCTCCACCACAACATAGGTCCGGCAGCCCAACTGAGCGAGGAACAACTAGTTTCAATGACGGTGACGATGTTCCTCCTACAGATAGAAGACATGGCATGCATAGAGAAAGCCGCGGACAACATGCACACTCACCACCGCGAGTAGTATGTCGACGGTCAAGTCGTAGCTCTCGTAGAGCGTCGCCTAGCTATATGGAGCGTGCCGTGGATCGCCTCGTGAATTCGATAGAAACAAGCAGTCGGTCGCGCGGTGTAAGTGCATCTGCGAACATGTCGGCTCAGATTGAAAACATTCAGGATCAATGCATGGATTTATTGGCAACGTTGGACATCTCTCAGGAACAGTATCTCTTCATGTTCAACTTAATGACTATGGAGCCTAGGTGGCAGCGTCCATTCCTGCATATGCCAGAACACCATCGGCTTGTGTGGATTCAGCAGACTATGGAGCAGTGTACCGGACAACAAGTTGCTCCTCCGCCGCCACAACAAATGCCTTCGGCCTCGTACTTTCAGCCAAACACGCAAGCGACCCCTGCACACGGCAACACATTCGGCCAGCCCACTTCCCCATTTCAACCATTCATGCCACCGTTCTCGAGACCCAACTACACAATGCCACGTGGAGGGGATGGTTCTTCGCATATGTGATACTGTTATTTGATTCGTTTTATTTGTTACCACCGTTCTAGAGACTTCATTGAACATGTTATTTTTTATGGTTCGAATTCCTTTATTGTTTTTCGTTTTTAGTACTAATTGAGTAATTCTTATTAGATTGCGGCACATTTGGTTGAGGATTTGTTACTTAATGCGAGCTTATTTATGCAAGAGTATGTTTTATATGCACTTTTGAACTTTACACATATGATTTGCATTTTTATAACTTTATGCTTCATTATTCTGAAAATTTGACAGGGATGGATATAGGTGGGAATTCTAATCCGTTGGGTTCTAATGAATCGGACTACGACAGTGATGATAATTTTTTCATGCAAGTTGTCGCTGCGGCGACTACGCTATGTGTTGGATTTATATACAGAGAACCTTCTCGCCGAAGGCACACTTCTGGTTGGGGCGGTGCAATTAGGGTGCAGTATTATTTGGAACGTAGTCCAACAGTGATGTATGACAAAGTCCGTATGAGTAGTGATGCGTTCTTGCGACTAAGTTTTATCCTTGAGGAAAGGGGCTTACTACAACCAACTGTCCACATAAATGTTGATGAGCAATTATTTATATTCCTAACTATATTATATCAGAACCAAACTAACAGGGAGGCACAGGACACTTGGCAACGATCTGGATCGACGGTGTCTGAGTACTTCACCAAAGTTCTTGTGGCGGTATGCAAACTGAAGCAGGACTTCATTTTACATCCAGATTTCCAAACCGTTGACCCGCACATCATTGCAAGTGGAAATAAATACTCACCGTGGTTCGATGTATGTTCGGTAATGTATATTAATTAGGGGTTTATAATAATTATTACGACTTCAATATAACCAACATAACACTTGTAAACTATGAAGGATTGTGTTGGAGCACTTGACGGTACTCACATCCCATGTGTTCCCCCTCGTGAAACTGCTGAACTTTACAGAAATAGGAAGGGGTTTTTTTCACTTAATGTGCTTGCCGTGTGCACTTTTGATATGAAATTTACGTACATGTTATCTGGATGGGAGGGTTCCGCACACGATGCGCGAGTATTAGCTGCTGCTTTAGAATTCGCACGCAAAGATTCCCGACACCGCCACCAGGTCAGCCTACAATGATTTCTTATATGTACACTAACATTTCAAATACTTCATCCGTACGCTTATTTATTAATTAATGTACGAACAAGTGTAGGAAAATTTTACCTCGTCGACTCAGGGTACGCTAACAACGGATGCTTCATGGCACCATATCGGGGGACAACGTACCACTTGCAAGAGTATAGGGCTCGCCGTGAAAGAGGATTCCACAGTGAACGTGAGCTTTTCAACTACACCCACTCTTCGTTGCGTAATGTCATTGAAAGAACATTTGGTGTGTGGAAGGCTAGATTTCGTATTTTGAGAACCATTAATCGTTACCCCATGACCAAACAAGTTATGATTCCAGTAGCGTGTGCTATAATACATAATTTTATCCACATGTACCGTAATAGGGACAGGCTATTAGACCAATACTCACAAGATGACGTTCCGGTTGCAGACATTGATCCACCGAATGTTGATGAGGACATTAACGACAATACTAACCATGAGGGTCAACCATTGGATTCTAATGCAGAAGTTGACATGAATGCTTTAAGGGATGCAAGGGCGCATACAATGTGGGCAGTGTACCGGCACCGTCGTGCACGCTGATGCCATCGTTCATTGTTGTCTTTTTAAACTTAAATATGTATTTTTGCTGTCTTTTTGAACTTAATTAAAATGAAAACTGAGCTTGTACTTGTTATTTTTATTATTTTTTTATTTTTGTAATTACAAGTAATTTATTACAATAAAGCATAATAAAGGCGGAAAAATAAAAAAATTGTAAAAGAATTGAATAAAAATGTAGGAAAAAAAAAAGGATATTCACTATTCACAACTCAAGTTTTATCACAAACAAACACAAACTCAAAAAATTCTTAACTCAAACCATAACTCAAGTTATACACAACCAAACGTAAATTCAAGTTACAACTTAAACTCAAGTTATAACTCAAATTTAACTCAAACTCAATTTAAAAACTTAACTCAAAAATACTTGCAAAAGAACAAGCCCTAAGTTATTCTGTGTGTAAGAGTACACAGACCGCTCTCTGCACCCGCGCTTCTTGTGAGGGGAGCGAGTGAACCTGTGGAAGGAAGAGAGTAGAGTGAGAGAGAGAATCTGCTAGAAACAAAACAAAGGCACGAACCAACGCCATAGCTAGGGCAAAACAAAGCCAAGCCGACGCTTCCAATTCTCTTCTCTTCTCCGAATTCGACGAAGATGAGCATCTGGAACTACGTCGTCACGGCTCACAAGCCCACCAATGTCACCCACTCCTGCGTCGGCAATTTCACCAGTTCTGGCGAACTCAACCTCATCATTGCGTAATTTTCTCTCTCTCTCTCTCTCTCTCTCTCGTTTTTCCATTTTCCTTTCCTTTTTCCATTTTCGCCGGATTCGATTCTCCTTTGACTATTTCCCTCGCTTTTCTTGGGGGAAAAACTTGTTTACTCTTAGCTTTCAGGTATGGAGGACAGAATTACATGTATACGAAGTTAGGTTTCTATGCGTATGTTTAGTTTAACTGTGTGATTTTCCCCCTTTTTGGAGCTTGTTTGGTGGTAGAGAAAGTGGAAGGAAAGATTAGGGTAATAACTAAAGATTAGTGGAAGGATTCTTTTCGGGAGGTTGTTGTTAGGACTTAGGAGGGAAAAAGAGGGAACGAATTGGATGAGGGATTTCAAATCTTTCAAATATTTAAAGGTGCTTTATTCTTCCCCATTTTTCTTTCCGTCTTAGCAAATACAACTTAAGTGTTTGGGACTACTGGTTTTTGTGTTTGTGAGATATATTGGATATGGTAGTATATTGGGAAATCCTGTGTTGGATTTCAGGTTCTCCGAGAAGAAAGAAGATTTGTTGAGTTAGGTTACTGACTAACATGTTGTAGCTTATGTGTATTTTCTAGTGAAAGAACTTAAAGAAATGTTATATATATATATATTTTTTTTTTTTTTCCTTGACCTTTTTGATTGGGGTTTATGCTATTTGTAATAGAAGTTGTGTTAGCCTTTGCCTCGTTTTGCTCTTTTAGAGAAAAATGTTTTATTTTATCCACTAATACAATGTATGTGCATTGTAATTTGTTTTCAGGAAATGCACTCGTATTGAGATCCATTTACTTAGTCCTCCTTTTTGTTTGGGGTTTATGCCATTTGTAATAGAAGTTGTGTTAGCCTTTGCCTCGTTTTGCTCTTTTAGAGAAAAATGTTTTATTTTATCCACTAATACAATGTATGTGCATTGTAATTTGTTTTCAGGAAATGCACTCGTATTGAGATCCATTTACTTAGTCCTCAGGGCTTACAGGTAATATATATATATATATATATATTTTTTTTTTTTCCTTTTCTTTTTTTGTGGGATGCCCCAGTAATACGTTGTTGGCTGCTCATGGCTTTTCGGTGACTTGGTAGAGTAATTTATGGTCTGTGTTGGAAAAAGAAATATTATGCTTGAGTTTCTCTTTTGACTTATAATAAAGGTGCTATATTAATTTAGAATTTGTATTTTGTAGTTCCAGAATGTTAGGTTTTACAGACTAGTTCTGGTAACTTATTTCTTTCTTCTGTTCCTTGCATCTCTCTGTTGATCGGGGTGGGTATTAGTTATACATTTTTTGCAACATTTGGTCCAAGTATACACAGTAATGAGAAAAGAATTAGGCCTTGTAGGCTTGATAAAACTAGTTAGAGTTATTTGGTTGGATGCGTACTTTCTGTTCTTTTACCAATTTCATGTTCCTGAAACTTTACATACTGTTTATGGTTTCTTATTATTTTAGTTTGTGGGATAAGGTAAAAAGGGTACTGCTCTTTCTCTTTACCATTACACATCCAATTTCTGATCCTGCATTCTTATTGTTATTATCTTATTATTTGCAATCTCATACCTGACTGCATATGAACACAGAGACCACATGAACATTTGATTGGTTCACTTTACTAGATATGCATTTCATGGATTTTGAAATTTCTAAAATTAATCAAAACTGTCAGGCTAATTTTTTTTTTTTTTTTTGTTATGTTTTTTTCCCCTCGTAAGGCTGATTTTATGATTCTCTTATTTTAACTAAATTCATGTATGTGTCCATAGTAGGGAAATTAACCAAGCATAAATGGACTGAGATTTCATGAAGTTATCACGAAATAAGAAAAGAGAAACATGCTATAAAGATTTTTTAAAGAATCCTTGTTGTTGATTTTTTATAAACTTGTGTATTCCTGTTTTCTCAACCTTTAGAGCATCTTTGCTTGACGTTTTCTATAATTGTATTCCTGGTAGGCTGATGCAAGAAGTATTAGCAATAGTCTTCCCCTTGTCCTCCCCTGTTCCCCTAAGATTCAAGAGAAAATTTTCAGAAGATTATGTTCATTTCATGACTCAAGTCATATTGCTACAGTGTTTTCCCTACCAAAAATTCAAATTCAACTTTTTTGCTACAGTGTTTTTCTCTTACATACACAACTCAAATCATAACTCAAGTCATGCAAAAGAACAAGCCCTTATTATTGTTTAAAATTTTAGCTTTTGCATTTCTTTATCTGCTAGAATTAGGATGTACTGGCATGATTTTAAACTATATTTTTTCCTTTCAGCCTATGTTGGACGTGCCCATATATGGAAGAATTGCAACACTTGAGCTTTTTCGTCCTCATGTGAGTATCATATTTTATATTTCTAATATCCAACAGTTAGATTTTCTTTTCCTAAATTTTTTTATTTATTCATGTTTGTTCTATCTGAACAGGGTGAAACACAAGACCTTCTGTTTATTGCAACTGAAAGATACAAATTCTGTGTTCTCCAATGGGATGCTGAGACATCTGAACTCATTACAAGGTTTAAGCATGAAATTGAAGTGAAATTAGTATACGCTAATTTTGTTTTGAAGTTTGTGAATACTTATTTTCTATATCCTGAAGTTAAAGCGACGTTCATTGAAGTAGAAGACAAACATTTTGTGTTGGAACAGATGATTTTGAAGTAGCATATAAATTATTTACTCATCAATCTATACAATGTGTCCATAATTTGGTGTTCTATTATGTACTGAAGAATTTATACTGTTGCAATGTAGAGCAATGGGGGACGTCTCTGATCGTATCGGTCGTCCCACGGACAATGGTCAGGTAGTGTGTATATTTAATTTATTGGTTGTATTCTGATTATAAATTACATTCATGCTTAAATTTCCCTTTTTCTTTTAAAGATAAGGAGGTTGGCCTTAGGCATCCCTTTTATTTTCCTTTCCATGTTTATGCAGATTGGCATTATTGATCCAGAGTGCAGACTAATTGGACTTCATTTGTATGACGGACTGTTCAAAGTATGTACCCTAAGATAATTCATAGTTCTTGTTTCACACCAGAAAACCGGGAGTGTTTCATTTTGTTTTTTATTTATATTTTTATCTGGATATATCATCGATATGAAATGAGCACTGGGTTTTTACTAATTTCTTGCTGTTCCAGGTTATTCCTTTCGACAACAAAGGGCAGCTCAAAGAAGCATTTAATATTAGGTACTATTTTTGTGTTCTTGGTGTTAGTCTGCAAATCCAATTATGTTGATTGTTTTGGGTGTATGCCTGTGTGTTAGAGCTCCATTTGCGCACATTCTGCAATCATTCATACCCCTGTTCTAATAACATTTTTATTGAAAAAGTATATTGGCTATCTTCTTTATCTTTGTTTAATTTTTGCTCAACGATTATCAGTCACTGTAATTTTGTCATTTTATTTCTACTTTGGGCTCTGCTTCAGGTCCAAATAGAAATTGTTTCGGGATTTATTTATGTATTCTTGCGTTGTCAGCCTCCAATCATGTTGGCAGATATCAATCAACTTGTTTTCTCTTAGTTGCTGAAATTTATCAAATTTATTAATAGGGATCTTTTGTTTCGATTTATTTCACTAGTAAACGAATAAAAATATGATAATAAGTTAACTGCCACATCACATGATGAATAAAATTTGGCATATAGTTTAGTGTAGTTAGTATTAAATTTCACATTTTGTATTTGAATTTCCAAAGAGAATTCAGGACTATGTCCTTTGCATATGTCTGTATTTATGTTTATGTGTGCAAACTTGAAAGTCATTGTGAAAAGCGTTGTGGAATTGCATTTATTGATAAATAGTTACCTTCCTATTGAAGTAAAAAACAAATTTTGAAACACAACTCTATTTGGATTAATGCTATAGCTCTCTCTTTCGATCTCTAGCTCTCTCCGACTCTTTCTAAAATTCTTTCCCCTTATAAAGAACAAAGACTGATATAGAGTATCATGTTGGGTCAAGATTTAGTCAATGTTGAGAATCATGCACGGGATTCTTTTGTAATCTTAGGAGACTTTCAATATTTTAAAGTAAACGTACAGATAGGCTAGCTATTGGTGTAATCCCTGTTTTGTGGGGATTTGCTTATTATAGAAAGTTTCCCTTCTCTTCTATTCTACCCGTGTATATATACAGGGCAGGGCATTGTAACACATTATTTATGAATTCAATTTAGAGAACACCTTAATTGCCGCATGATATCAGAGCCCTTATGTTGATTCTAGGGCGTTTCTCTTTTATTGTTTCGTCAATCTGAGCATTTTGCTCATTGTTCAGTCTTCATTGCTGGATCGTGTTGTTCCTTTATGGTTTTTAAGGGATTTTCTTCTTCTAATCCAAGGCCTTAATTGCCTTTCTTCCTGATCTATCTTTTTGCCTTTTCTTGTTCTGTTCTTGCCAACTTGATCTGCCATGTCTAAGATTGTTGAGGAGGTCAATCTGTTCGAAACTCAGATTGCTGAAAACACGAACACTTACTGCGGGTGATTACTAAATGTTCAAATGGCGTACAAATTCAACGGAAACAATTATTTGAAGTGGTCACAATTCGTACGGATGTTTTGAAAAGCAGGGGAAAGTTGAGTCACCTTTTTGGTGTAGGGCCTAAGCAAGGAGATCATAAGTTCGAGACTTGGGGTGAGAGGTGGTGATGTCTAGCTGTGAAAGATTATGCTGCCTAAAATCAGTGACATCTGCATGTTTCTGGCCATCTCAAAAGATATTTGGGATGTTAGACTAACTTACTCCAAGGTTCAAGACGCTGCCCAAATCTATGTGATCAAGACCAAGATTTCTACCCCCAAGAAGGGAAGTCGTTCATTTACCGAATATGCCAATTAGTTGAAGATCTTGTGGCAAAGAGATGGACAATTATTAATGCATTCAAATGAAATGCAACGAAGTCGTCGCTTTGCTCAAGTGGTTCATTGAGGTCATAAATTATGACTTTCTTGTTGGAGAGAACATTGAGTTTGATGCAATGTGGGGATAGGTGTTGGGAAAAGAAGAATTGCCATTGCTGAACAGGACAATTGCCATCATCCATTCTCTCCTTAAAAGAGAGAATGGGTTTCTTGTGGGTGTTTTGTTGCCCCCCACGTTTTGTTGATGTTGTTTTCCTTTTCTTTTTTTTTTTCTTTCTTAAGCTTTCTTTTTAATTTTTTTTTTCTTTTCTTCTTTTCCTCCCTTGTCTTTTTTTAATGCATCTTTTAACCTTTGATTTTTATTTAAGATATTATTTTTTTCTTAATCGCCCTGTTAAATTAATTTCTTCTCAAATGTGTCCCTGCATAAGCATCTTTTGCCCATGATCCTCATAAATTTCAACTTCAGTTACGAAACATTTCGCACAAGTTTTTTTCTTAAGTTTTTTTTTCTTCCCTATCTTTTGCTTTAGATATTTTTTTCTCACTTTTTTCCTTTATTTCTTTTATCCTTTCATTTTTCTTCATCTTTTTGTCCCCGGCGATTTGCATAGCCGTTGTTTTAAATGAGTCACTTCACGCGCGTTTTTGACTAGTTTGAGCAAAGAAGGAAGAAGGATTCCGTTGAAAGCTCAACCATGATTATAAAGACTACTGGTATACGGAACCTTAGCTCTGATGAAGAAACCAACAATAAAAAGGAACACATTGAGTCCTCAAGGCAATTGAATTTCTCTAAGACAAGAAGTCGAAATTCCCAGTGGTGCACTTACTGTAAAAAGTCCCGACCTAACTATAATTGATACTGGAAGCTATATGGCAATCCACCAATGTCTCAAACATCCAATAGAAGTGGAATGTCAAAGGTCGACAACAAAGAAACTTAGGGCAATCCCACTTGACCAACACTAATTGAGTGAAACGCCAGCTCGAGTTCAATAAAGAAGGCATTAAAAGGTTGGAAAATTAGCTAGCGTCGCTGGAAAAACCATCTGGTATGTGCTCTACTGCGCTCTTAGGTAAATTTTCTGCTCGCTATGCATGTAAACATTTCGACTCTGGAATAAACCACTTGCCAGCCTTTGGGTTCTTGACTTAAGATTGACTTAGGAGCTATTGGTCATATGACTTGCATAAATTTGACAATCTATACAAATTTTTCTAGTAGTAAAAAGACACTAGTGCAGATGGTACCTTTAATAATGTGGCTGGGTAGGGACATCCAAATAAATCAATCCCTTCTCCAAAATGTCCATGTCCCAAAATTATCCACAAATCTGATTTCCATTCATTGGCTTACCAAAGATTTGAATTGCAATGTGGTCTTTTATTACTTTCATTGTGTGTTTCAAGAACATGGTACGGAGAAGATGATTGGACGTGCAAGGGAAAGTGATGGGCTTTACTACCTTAAAGTTCCAAGTGGTTAGTAGAACAAAAAACAATTCATCTTTGCCATTTTTTCCCTAAAAATGTTGCGACCGAAAAAGACAAGATTTGGCTTAAACATCGTCGCTTAGGGCACCCGTCATTTTGTGTTCTTAAAGCTCGCTTTCCTCATTTGTTTAAGGGTCGGTCGGTAGAAAATTTCCATTGTGATATTTGTGACGTATCAAAGCATCAACGGGCGTCTTTTTCATTTAGCAATAAAAGATGTTATGTTCTTGTTTCTCTTGCCCGTTCTGATATTTGGGGTTCATCTATTGTTCCTTATGTTTCGAGAGCAAGATGGTTCGTGTCGTTTATTACTCATGTGACGTGGATTTGTCTGAGGAAACAAAAATTCAATTTGTATACAGTCCTTCTCATCTTTTTCAATATGGTCAAATGAATGCGATATGATAGTGCCAAGGACTACTTCAATCCAATTGTCACCCTATTTCCAAAATGCTGGTATTATTCATGAGTTGTGAGTCATCTTGTGTTAATAATATCTTAAGTAGAACATAGGGGCTGAAACGAGAAATGGTCATCCAGAAGAGCTTTTAGTTTTTTTTTTAAAAAATGTTTCTAAACACTATTGGGGGAAGTGTTCTCACTGCTCTATATTTGATTCCCCGTTTGCCTTCTCGAGTTTTGGGGTTTGAGAGTCCGATGGAAGTCTGAAATTTTTTTCTTGATTTTAACACTTAAAACAACCTCACTCCAAAACATTTCTATTGCGTGTGCTTTTTTTTTTTTTTTTTGTATTCGTAGTCATCAAAGGGGAAAATTTGACACAATGGCTCTCATGTGTGTATTTGTTGGGTACTCTTCCACGAAAAAGATAAGTGCTACCACTCATCTACGCAAAAATTCTTTACCTCCTTCGATGTCACTTTCATTGAACAAGTGAATTATTTTATTGATCCTTATCTTAAAGGGGAGAAACAATTGTGGAAGCTAGGGACAAATTGTTTTCTGCTCGAAGTGGATCTTCACGTGTCTTCACAACCCTCGTCATCTCATTTCACTAAGCCAATGTCTCCTTCAAAAGATCAAGACAACAATGAAATTGACATTGAACCTTCCATGGCCAGTCCCAAGTCATTGACCAAAGAAAAGCCAGTTTACAATCCTATGAGAACACTACAATAGAATTTGAGAATGAAAGTATCCGTCATTGAACTTTTCCAAATCCAAGATTTAGAACTAGCCCTTGTGAATGAAGTAAGCTCATCTTCCCGATTACTCAATAAAGATGTTTGTCATCCAATTGACAATAGTGATTGTGATCTACCAATTGCCGTTGGGAAGGGTAAATAGTGTAGCAAGCATCCATTGTACCCATTTTTTATCCTATGAAAGACTCGCCATTGCAGAAATCCTCTCACCCACTTAAATACTATTAGCCATCCCTAAAATGTATTGGAGGCATTGATATGTAAGGAGTGGAAACAAGCCATGAAATTGAATTGGAGGCACTTGAGAAGAACAGAACCCGGGAGGCACTTGAGAAGAACAGAACCCGGGATTTGGTAGAATTACAAAAATGGAAAAAACTTGGTTGGGTGTAAATGGGTCTTCAGTGTGAAATATAATGCATATGGGACTACTTGGTGACCTTCTCCTTCGTCACTTAGATGATCACTGAGAATCCTTTGTCATTGGTGGCTATGTTTGAATGGAATTGACAATAGTTTGATATCAGAATGCATTTCCACATGGTGGCCTTGAGGTGGAAATCTACATGGAGATGCCATTGGGCTTTGGATTGAATGTGGAAGGGAAGAGGTTAGTTAACTCAAAATGGCTGTGTACGGCCTAAAGCAATTGCCTAG